GCTTTCAGAGTCTTCTTCTTCTGATTCAGAGTCACTCCAAGCAGCCATCATTGCTTTCTTGAACTTTTTCTTCTCAAAGTTTTTGTGTTCTTTTTCCTTATTCTCTTTCTTGACTTCTTGCTCTAATCCAGGACAATCCTTGACCCTATGATCTGTTTTACCATACTTATAGCAACCATCATTAGTTTTAAAAGACGAGTGTTTGGATTTTACGTACTTGTTGTTTGAGCTCCAATTGTATTTTGGTTCTTGAAGTATTTTCCGAATTTTTGCATAAGCATAATGATTTCCTCCTCATCATCTGAATTATCATTAGCCTCCTTGAATTGAGCTTTTAGAGCTATACATTTATCCTTCATTCTCACATCATCTCGTAGGTTTGGGTTACGAGGTCAATATCTGGTGGTGGTCGAGGTACTTGGGGGGCTTCAATAGAGTAGGAGAGGGCTGGGGCTTGGTGGGCTCCATATTGGGGTTGTCTAGGGATTGCAACCGACCCCTGTGGTTGATTGGCGACAACATGATGAGGGTGCGGGGGGTAACCAAGGAACGGATAACCAGTTTGGAATGGTGCGGGGAAAAGAGCAGCCACGTTATGTGTGTAAGGCTTGGGGGGGTATGTGGCGATTATGGGGACTCGATGATCGTTATATAGCGCTGCGGGTTGGCTTGGAGCCGGTTGGGCATGATGGGCGAGTGGAACGACCTGTGGGACGGCAGTAGGGAAGGGCATTCCAAAGTGGACACCAGGAGGTGGGGGTTGGTTTGTGACTAAGTTTTCTCCTTGCATTTCCTGTATTGCCACACGATGACCTACCTGTATTGCTCTGAGGCCAGCCGCTGGTAACTAGGGGCCTACAGATTGTAGTACTGGGGGAAGAGTTTCAGCGGCTGCTCGCCCCGCTGGGGCTGAGTGCATGGAAGGGGGAGAGTTGGAGCGCACAGTTTGCACATGTCCTTCTGGGGTTACTGCCCTTGCTTGTTCTGCTCGTCGAGTTGTGACATCCATGTTAGCGTTTTGAAAACGGTAAGTGTTTTGTGGATTTTTGGTAGAAGAATGGGAATAAAAGTTTACGGTTTCCCACAGACGGCGCCAATGTACCGATGGGATCTATATGCCCACTATCTCCTGTTCTGGATGGCCCAAACACTAAAGTGGCCCATCTGTCCAGGCCCAATCCTTGGTCCCAACCCGCGTCAGCCCTAAGGGCTGACGTGGACCCTCACGTCCCCCAACCATGCTGCTTGCCCAAGGGATACACCGAAATGTCCCACCTTGGGACGCTAACCACCAAAAGAAGGGCGCCCAGGCACCGTAAAGGGAAACTGCCCCTTTGCCCAATATTGACATCGCCAGATGCAGAAGGCACAGCGCTGCCACAATGGCAGCGCCAACCACGCCCAACACTGCCATAATGGGAGCATATCCCAAGGAGGGTTGACCCCCTCCTCACCAACCCACATCATTCTCCTGATAAATAGCCCCCAGGGGCACAGCTGAAGGATCATCTTTTATGTACTGTTATTATGCCCATTTGTATTAAGTCTATTACTTGCTTATCTACCTCCATTGTTATTAGTTTGCTTAACATTTGGAATAATACCTTCAAGTCTGGTCTTCACCTTGGCTAGGGGTACCATCCATACATCAATATTATCCTCTAAGGATACATAGTGGGCATATAGATCCCATCGGTACACTACCATTTTCTTTTACCGTTTGAGATGAATGGGGAGAGAAAACAAAAATAAGGAGGATGGTATCGCTAACATCTCATTGTATTTTAAGGAAATTGTTTGTTGTGTATGCAGTGGCGGAGCCACATATAAGCTGGGTGTGGCCTAGGCTCGGGTTAAATTTTAATAAATTGTACTTATTATATATAATTATATAATAAATTATAATTTTCCCTGGATTAAAATTATAATTTGGCCCGGGCTGCAATTTATAATTTGGCCCTATCTAAAACTTAAAATAATTTTGGTGAAAGATTTGGGTAAGTTGTATTAAGTTATGTGCAGTGTTTTAAAACCCCACCCCACCCCCCCGGGTTGACCCAGGTCAACCTTAACCCTTCCCTTCTGAGGGTTGGGGTCACAAGTTGAACCCTATATGCACATCGACCCCTCCGACCCCCAAAATCCGGTCGGGTTTGAGTGACTCCCGGGTCAGAGGGGTCAAAGGGATCACTGCATGTTTTTTTTTAAAGAAAAATCAATGAAACAACGTCGTTTTATTAAAAAATTTAAAATAAAAATGCTTGCAAACCTAAATCTAATCGTTCTCTTTTCTCTCAGTGACCTAGACTTGTGGTATCTTGATACTTTGGTATCATTAGAATATGAGTTTTGTATTTTGGTATCTTGATAGTTTAATTAGGTTGTGTAATATTGACTTATGGTTGTAATTGGTGAATTATGTTAAGTATATTTTAATTTCTTGATGATTGGTGATTTATTTTTTAATATTTTCATATAGGATATATATATATATATATATTAATATTTTTTAATATATAAAATCGGGTCAGCATAGTGACCCCGTGACCCCTTACCTCGACCGGGTCGATGGTCGGGTCGAGTTTTTAAACACTGGTTATGTGTTCAATTTACACTTGTATAAAAAAAATAAAATATTTTTTAGTAAAATTAAAAAATATTTAATAAAATTATAACTCTTGTTGATGTTATCAGCTGAAGTGCTCTGTTATGTATTTAATATAATTTAAGTATATTATGATATCAACTAACTAAAATTAAAAAAAAAATACATATATAATTTTTTACCTTGGGCTCAAATTAGAAATTGGCTCAGCTACTGTGTGTATGATTGTGTTAGGGCAACTAAAAGTATTTGTAGAAAAATAATTAGCTAAAAGTATACTTTTATTCTTTAATCATTTTAGTTATTAAATTTTTATTTTAACTTTTTTATAATCTATAAAACATTTAAGTTCTTAAATAAGGCTTTTTCACCCTTTTGCCCTTCATTAATTATTTAATAATCATTTTGTCCCTTATTCAGAACTATCTACCAATATGCCCATCTTTAATCGATTAAGCCAAAAATTTAATCGATTAAATGGTCAAAATAGGCAAAAATCGTTGATTTGAAGATTTAGTCGATTAAATCTTCTTATTTAATCGATTAAATCTCCCATGCATAAAGTTGTTCTTCTGATAAAGAGAAAGATTTAATCGATTAAGTTGAAGATTTAATCGATTAAATCTTCATTTGACTATTTAATCGATTAAATATTTAATTTAATCGATTAAAGAGGAGTATATTAGTAGATAATTTGCAATAAGGGATAAAATAATTATTAAATAATTAATAAATGGCAAAAAAGATAAATAAACCTCTTAAATAAGCATAAAGTTTTATGAACAAAATATTTACGTAGCACGCGCACACGGTTAACAAACCTGTGGTTTAGGTATCGGGCTCCGTATGGTGTGATATGACAGTGGGCCACCATCTTCATGTGGCCCATGTTCCCAATTGTCTCTCTGTCTTTAACTTTTCATCAAATCAACCAAAAATTTAAAGGACAGGGTTTGTTATTTTAAATGATATAAAAATATGTCATTTTAAAAGAGAGATAGACATAAAATAGTATTTTTTTATTTAAAATTTAAATTAAAAAAATCAGTCACTTTTCCCCTATGATTTTAATTCCTTGTATCTATCTTTCTCCTAAAATGTCATAACTTAAGTCATTTAAAATAACAAACATCGAATCCAAAATTTAATATGAATTTAATCGAAATACTTTGTTCGTGTAAAAGAATTGATATTGTTATTTCATAAAATTTTAACACATTATTATTTATTATATTTACTAATAATAACGTGAGATGACAACAAATGATAATCTTATATATATATATATATATATATATGAATATGATTCTCTAACATCGTGTATCAAATTTTAAAATTTGATACTAAATCTTAATCATTGATTCACGCTAATCAATGATAATCATTTATTGAGAATTAATATTAATTAATAAGTTTGATTCTCAATGAATGATAACCGTTGATTGACGAAAATCAACAGTTATGATTTGATGTCAAATTTTAAAGTTTGACACCAGTATCAAAGGTCCTGCTATATATATATGTGTGTGTGAGTGTGAGGCAGGATGCTTTAAAATTTGATTAATTTATTAATAAGTTTGATTTTCAATAAATAATAACTGTTGATTAGCGAAAATCAACGATTATGATTTGATGTCAAATTTCAAAGTTTGACACTAGTGTCAACGACTCTGATTTGGAAGCATGTGACACCATTGATTTTTTTTATCTAACAGCTCTCAGATGATGTGTCAAACTTTAAATTTGATACCAGTGTCAATGGATTATACCTCACACACACACACATATATAGAAGAGAGATATTCTTACTACTAAAATTTTTTACTACCAACTTACTACCTACGTAATCACCATTGGATCAATATTTTCTTTTTTCAAAAACTTTTTAACATTCTCTTTCTTTGATTCAATGGTGATTAGAGGTAGTAAGTTAGTAGTAAAATTTTTTGATAATAAGAATATTCTCCCTCATATATATATATAGGATTTGTTAATTTCATGTAGCATAAGATTGTTTATCACATGTTATACAAACAAATTATGTAGGTTCCATCATTTTTAAAAAAATCAAATAAATAAATAAATAATAGCACGACTTTTAATGTTTCACTAGCACAAGAGAATTCTCTTTTTCGACATAAGATAATTTAAACCCTATATTTATATATAAGTTATATTTACAAACTCTTTTGTTTACAAATTCTTACAAACTACACTATGTTCTCCCGGGAGAACACTAGTTACACCATGTTCTCCGAGGAACACTAATTACACCATGTTCTCCCGGAAGTACATAATGTAATTTGTAAACAAAATTCAAAAAAATTTGTAAACGAATCCTTCCCGTGTATATAAATATATACATGAAATGTTATTTCTATTCCGTTCTCTTGTTCCCGTCTCAGCCTATAAAACTGCAAATCCATCGAAATCCCAAAATTTAGGGTTTCCATGTCCAATACAAGGGCTTCATTTATGAAGGTAATTAATCTAAGTCATAGATCCTCTTATCTTTCTCTCTCTCATTTGTTAATTTCTGTCCCTAAAGTAACTATTTTTATTTTTATTTTATTTATTTATTATTGAGTGTGTTCATGTCTTTTTTCCTCGTTTTTTGAAGTTGATGTATTCTCATTTGATTTGTTGCTTGAACCGTAATTCAGTTGAAATTGATTTCATGCACCTAAATGGGTTTTGATCTCTATGCTCAGATTTAGCAAAAAAGAGTTGAAATTGGTTATGGATTTGGGAAGTGAATCTGTGGAAGAAAATGAAGTGAATCATGATGGAAATGAAAACGGGACTAAGGATGGTGATTCTATTGGTGATGAGAAATTTGGGTTAGGCTTCGATGGAAATCAGGATCAAAAGGGAACGGTTGATGAAGTAAGTAGTGAGGAAGCTGTGAATTCCAAAGGAACACCAAAAAAGGGGTTTGGGTTGAAGAAATGGAAGAGAATCAGGAGGAATGTTGTTAAAGATCCAAATTCGAGTGTTGATGATTCAGGAAAGATATTAAAGCGAGGGCTGTCTGGCACTGGCAATGGAAATTTGAGTGAAAACCAACCTTTTCCGCGTGGTGTTAAGGAAAAAAGTGATGGATCTTTGAATATGTTTGGGAATTCAGTGTTTTCTGATGGCTATGCTGTCCCTGGTTCCAGTTCGGATTCCAGATATGCACTTGGATCTGGTTTTGTTGTTGGGACTGATTCTGAGAATAGCGAGGATCGGAGTAGCAAGTCTTCTACAGCAGCTAGTGAGCCGAAGTTAAGGCATGAGAAAAGTCGTAGTAAGAATATGAGTTCGAAGAATTTAGCTAACTCGGCTCAATGGGTTCAACAGGGAAAGGGACGGATTGAAAGCAGTAAGAAACCTGGAGGAGGTGGCAGAGTTAAAGTTGAGAAGGAAAATTCTCTTTCTAGTATAGAATCTGATTCAAGAAGCTCCAACTTTAAGCAAGGTATCTATGCAGTTACTAGTAATGGAGAACATAGTGGTAGGCCAAATGTTTACAGTGGAGGCAAAAGTGGTGAAGCTAACACTAGCATACATTTCACTGAGGGAGTTCAAGCCGGTTATGGCAATGAAAACATTGGTGAAGATGAAGATCTTCTACCAGAGAATTTAGCTACAAAATTGCCTTGGGATGTTCAAGAAGAAAAAAGTGAGAACAACCAATATTCGACCATTGAAGATCCTTTAGTTGAGTGTATTAGTAGCCTTCAGGCTATCCAGGAGGCACTTGAAGAAGGTTTGTCCTTACTTCTAGTAAGTTGATTTTTATGTGAATCTTTTATGCAGCCTGCCTCTGTGACTGAGATTGGTATATTTGTTGGTTTAATAATCCTTGAGAGAATTTATGCAACTTATATTACCTTATTAGCAGTTTCTTGACCAATGAATTCTGCTCCAATATTTTCTGCCTAATTCTAGTCTAGTCTCACTTGGAAGCATTATTGATTAATCAAATAATCCAACATTGTTAGATTTAAAACTGTTGTCCTGCCTATGCAGCTCTATGCTGGGTGATGAATAGGATGTCAAATGGAAAAGGATCCCCTTGGAAAATTTCTCGTGCATTTTATTTCTTTATATGAATGTTAAACATTGTAAATGTTAAAGATAGATATTTTTGTTACATTTTGGGTTTTGCATATAAGTTGTTGAGATTGTATTTAATTCAAAAGCTTCACCAGGCCTAAGTTTGTTTAATTTTAATATCTTTCATTCCTTGATCAATATCAGTATGTGCTGCTGGGATTGACTTTTCCTTGTAGTTGGGCTGTCTTATGGTTAAGGGTCTTGATTTGGAGCCTATCATTGTTGATGTATTTACGTGTTTTTAGTGGAATTCTGAATCTCTAATTCTCTCTTTGTGAAGATTATTGAATGGTTCATCAATTGGATTTCATCTTTATTAAGAAATCCAAACACTCAATTAACTGAAGGAATGGAATCTAAAATTTCCAAATACAATCCGTCACCAGGATCTCGTTGGATGACTTGTTTTATTGTACATTAACATGATTGTGAAATTTTACCTGCATATTGTAATGTTATTGCAGTGATTTCTCGTCCTTCTATAAACTTCACTTCTGGTTCACCATTTACTAGCATTTCTATTAAAGCTTTATCATATATTTTATTAGGACCATAGATAATTTATTGTTTCTCTGTTTTCTCTTACAAACTTTCTTGTTTGGTACTGTCTGAGTTGTTTGTTAATTACTTTGAAAGATTATATGAATGCTAGTTCAGCTAATTTTTCTTGGTTGCAAGTTGATTTAGTTGGCCGAGGAAACCATTTTACAACATAACCTGAGCCAGCAAAAGGAAACAATAATGGAAAATAGGTTATTGAATTTTCAAGTTACCTTCTGCAATTCTACTTGCCTACCCTGTAACTGCACATGCTATTTTCCACTTATTTTCATTGTTTTAAATTTATGGTTTAGTGCAATAATTTAAAAACAACCTATATTATAAGCATTTCTTTAAGCTATTTTGAGTTTGTTCATTAACGCTGAAAGTAGTTTATTTGCATACTTTCGAGAATAAAGGAACAATTTTTTTTCTTGTAATTTGTAGTATTATGCTGAATTTCTTTCTTTTTTGTAAAGTATGCAATTTTAATTATGGAAGAATCAAGTATGGTGTTTCCCATTGCTGATAACCAATTTACGTGTACTCCTGCAGAAGTCCAGAAATTCAGGGAGATTGGGATTGAAGTTGTCTCACTAGATGATAACTCATGTAGCACTGCATCTGCTGGTATCAATGCTGTTGATCTTGGACTTAATATGTCATGTTTGTCAGGTCAGTCTGGTGAGGAAGAATTTAAACAAACTGCTTCAAGTTCCTTGGAACTTCAGGTGTTGAGCTTGACACGAAGTGTAAATATTTTGGAAAGCAAGCTGGAGGAATTACAGGGTATACATACTCTGAAGGATTCCAGGATTGCTGAGCTTGAAACAGCCCTGAGTAGTGGTAAGTTTCCTAAGGAAGAATCTGCTAGCACCATAGATGGTTCATTGGAGGAAAAATGTAAAGAGGTAGAATCTGAGCTTGAGGGCTTTTTTAGGCAAAAAATTGAAGCTGAGATTGAATGCCTAGCCATCACAAAGGTGATGCAGAACTTGAAGGTTGGGGCAGGTTTTCAACTTACATTATTGGAAGAACAAGAAAAACTGTCCGAAAATCAAGCGCAGGTTCTCGACAAGCTCGTAGAGGCAGAGAGTAAGGCTTCAGTGCTGAAGGACAAAGCAGAAGAGTTGGAAAAATATTGTGGTGATAGTTTAGTAGTTGAGGAGTCTTTTGTGCTGCAGAAGAGAGTATTTAAGGTGACATTTTGTCTTTTCGTACAATTCATGTTGTTAATCTTGTTCTTTTGGCTTTTTGTGTCCCAGTTATCACTCAATTCTGGGGTGGTTGTACCCACATAAGTCTGCAAAATTAGGTTCATTTTGTCTCTTTTCTGATATTTGAATGTAAAATTTATTTGTTATATAAACTGACCCTTCTGTCTCTGGGTAGGGGGAGAATGTGTATTTGCTCTCCTTGTTTTAATATCATTTTTGAGATAGTTAGCCTGTTTTAAAATACTCGGTGGGCTAGATATAATTGAAGTGTTTAGGGTTGTCTGTTGACTAAATTTAGGGTTCATTCAGCCCCTTGCTAGACATCCAAACTAAAAGATTGCTATTTCAATTTGATTTAGGCAGTTTATGGTGTGTCATGTATGAGGGCAAGTATTGGAGTAGTGGTAAAATTGTTCTTTTGTGAAAATTACAGAATCAAGTTTGGAAAATAACATCTTTGCAAAAATGTGAAGATAAAGATATGCCCTTTGGCTTTTATGGTGAGTTATGTCGGATATATATGGCTGATGGTTGATAGGTCCAATGCATAGGAATAGGAAGCATAGTGATACAGTTGTATCATTGAGGATTCATTTATGTGATGGCATGTAATACCAGAAATGAGGTTTTATTTTTTTATTTTTTTATTTTTGGAGATTAAATAATTATAAGTTTATAGTTATAGTTATGAACTTATGAAATGAGGGCATTTTTATGATTTTCATTATTATAAGCATATAATTACTTAAGAAGGATTTTCATTTCCGGAAATAGTTGTCATTATTTATAAATAAATAAAAAAAGCAATAAAACTTGTCTAGAAGAGTGTTTTCTGATCATTTGTTTATAAAAACAATAGAACAAGGAACTCGGATTTTTTTTTTTTAAAAATAAATCTAAAACAGTTGTTACTTAATATCACTTTTAACGCTTTATTGCCACTTATAATAGTTATACGTTACAATCAGTAGTACCCTTTTAATTGACTCAATGATGGTCTTTGTGCACGAGCGTGGTGCTTTTAGGTTCTTGAACTTTTAACATAGATGTTGATTTCAACGGTTTTCGTTGTTAAAACTCTTAACAAGTAGGATCCATGGTTTTTCAGTGTCTCGGCCAGTTTAATTTTCGCTATATTGTGTTAGACACAAACTTTTGTATAATGACCATCGATTATTAGGAAGTCTAATTTTTTTCACTTATTAATTTATTCATTATACACGGCACTCACAAGAGGGTTTACACAATTTCTAAAGCATCAGAAAGTTTCTCGTAGGCATCAATGCCTGCCTATAGATTCAAGAAAAGCCACCAATTTTACAAAATCGATTAACTCAAACTATACACTAGCTATCAACTAACGTTAACCCATTGGCCCATTCTATATAATAGCAAATTCATCATTCTCTGGCTAGAAAACTAAGGTTTAAAGTTTCCGATATTATAACAGATAAAATATTTTTTATATAAATATAAAAATACGTGGGATTTAAATTTTTTTTCTTTTTTTCTCTTCTCCTCACATGTGGACTGATAAGTCCATGAATTGTGACTTAGAGCATGTGATTTGATGATAAAATGGAATGAAAAGACTATCTTTGTTCATAATAACCCCAATTATTGCATTGAAATAAGGATTTCTGATTTAGAATGTTAATGGGCTGAATTTTTATGTTTCAGGCCCAATTGGTATTATTTTTCTAAGCTAAAAAAAAAAAATGGGCCAGTCATTTTTTTCAGAAGCCCGAAAGTGGGTGAAGAAAGAAAAGGCAAGAAGAAAAGAAAAAGGAAAGTTGGGCCAGAAGCAATCAGCGGCCCAAAAGAAGAAAAGAATGAAAGATGAGAAATGAAGAGGCAAGTCAGAATCAAGAAGAAAAGAAAAGGAAAAGAAGAAAAACCCTAGCAGACCCACCATCAGCTAACCCACCGCACGACCTCACCACCCATCACGGTCTCTTCTGAAAATCGAGCAACTGAACCGATTCACCATCCCTAGACAAGAACCCTAGCCTTCCACCACGGTTCAGTTTCTGAACCGGACCAACCTACACAAACCCTAACCAATTCTTGGACCAATCCAGAAAAATCCAAAAGAGTTGATGAGCTGGAGGTCGTTAGTGGAAAAGGTTACTTTTTGAGGTGCGTTGCGGAATCGTGCAAGGAGACACCCACGATCAAAAGGAGCGAGGAGCGTACATTGGAGGGGACGATTTTGGAGCAGCTATAAAGGAGGGAGGAAGTTTTTATGTGAGGATCAATCTATCTCTCCCCACCTCTCTTCTGTTCTGAGATAATTTTTATTTTTGCTCTTTAGGTTATTTTTCATGCTACTGTTTTCTGATTTTATTTTAGTAATCTGTTTGTAAATTTTATGAGCACTTGGTTCAGGACTATCGGCTGTTGATAGTTCCTGAGTTTTTATTTCCAGTATCTTTTAAAAGTTTCTGTCTTTTATTATGAACGCTTGCTGTATTTTAGCTCATCAACCTGTGGTGATGAGCTAATTTTTCTGAGAGTTGGGTTGCAAAAGTACCCGGAACTCACTGTTATTGGATGATGTTTTAATGTTTACATGGTTGTTTTCATCTTGTTTACTGTGCATGTTTATTGCTGAGTTTGATTTTGTGATGATCACACATAGTCAACTCTGAGTGGTGTGAGATTATTGGGAAATAATTCACATTAGACCCCACTGTGATCACATGGAAAGTTGAGAGAAAAATCTCTCTCAATGGGTATGGCTTCAGGGATGAAGTTACCCCCATGTAACTTGTGAAAATGGTTCCTCAAGATCCTATGACAACAGTGACATAGGGACATGCCAACTGTTGTCAGTGGAAGAAAATTGTTGTTGGGAAACAACAATTACCTTAATATTTTCGTTAAGCTGGAACAATTTTTTGTTCTTTGTTAAAGCATCCCAATGACAAGTGAGGGAAGGGGAAATTGAAACCCAACTCATTTCCAAATACTGATTTTAAAACCAATTTTTGTCACTTGTTAATTTTTTGTCAAAACCTGAATTTATTCTTCTGTTTCTAAACTTAGAAGAAAACCATTGCAAAACTATTTTACAAGTATTTTAGTTAAGTCATTTTTCTAAGCAGTAGTTAAAGAATCTGTCACCAACTAAATCATTGTTTTAAAAAGAGAAAATCACTACAAAAACATTTTCTGTTCTTTAGTTGAGAAAAGTAGCAGCATTTAATTTCATTTGTTTTTATTTTTAGTTCTTTTAGCAATTACCATTTATTTCAAGTTAAAACGCAAAGATCCTTGTGGGAACGATTACTGGGACTCACAAAAGCCCTATATTACTTGTTGTCGCGTATACTTGCGCGCATTACTTGCACAACTGTTAGCAAGGCAACAAGGACCCCATATGTTTTTATATATGTAGGAAGACAAAAATATTTCTGTTTTTGTTGCAGAATTTTTTTTTTCTGTCATACTTACATAAAAGTGAGTGGATTCCATTATAAAGAGAAGAGAGAAAAAAGATTAGTGAAACATTTTAGATTTGGATAATTTTGTTGTTGTTGGTAAACTTTTCAGCATGTTGCTTCAAAATCAAAACCTGAAGTCTTTAACCAAATGGTAGTAGTTCAGTTAGTAGCAAGGGAGCTGAGTAAGTAGAAAGGAAAGGGTCTCGGTTCGGTTCTCATATGTCATCTTTGGGAGGGGTTTAAATATCTTCATACCTGACTCATCCCGCACTCTGAATTAGTCCTAGAGCTGGCTCAAAGAGTTGAAGCTTATGGAAATACCGAGAGAAGTCAACTCACTTCAAAGAAGTAATTATGGTTGGGTTAACTTAAAAAAAACTGAAGTCTTTAGAGTCTTCACCATATTGATCACATATGCTTAATCAATTCTATTTTTCACACTTCCAAAACTGCATATTGAAGTTTTTTTCTGGTCTAATTTCATAATCTTTTCTCACACACTATTTTTTCTAGATAAATTATTGTCAAAATTTAATCAGTTTGAAAATATTTTTTTAAAGACAACTCTTGGATATGATCTTGTCATGGTGGGCCATTGTCTATCTTACACCCATCATATTTTGCTAATAATGTGTGCATAAAGCTATTCGAACTGCATTACTGTTTGGATAGACTTGAAGGCGATGGGATTTTACGGTTTTAAGATGAGGGATTGGAATTTGGGCTATTTTGATTTTGACTTTTGCTTTGAGGATCCATGGTGATGGGATTTGGGGAGGATATGTTTCAACTTTCAAGTTCACAGAAGGATATGATCTAGAAAATGTTATATCTGACAGAAATGAAAGAAGTCAAGAACGCGAGGAAGTATCTGACAAGCCCATAGATGATACTACTTTAATTAGGTTGAAACAGTTTAGAACAGTAAGCAAGAGTTAAAGACATACAAGAGATATCAAATTATGGTATTTCTGTTGGGTTTTTGACCCTTTTGCCCTTAATTAAATAATTAATAACTAATTTGCCCCTCCCCCAGAACTATCCACCATCCTGCCCCTATTTAGTCGATTAAGTTGCACTTTTAATCGACTAAATGGGCTAAACTCAGAAATTATGAAACGCGAATTTTAGTCGACTAAAAACTCACCTTAATCGACTAAATTGTTTGCACTTTTAGTCGACTAAGCACATTATTTAGTCGACTAAATGTCGCAGATCAGGTTTTTTAAAAACCCCCCCATTTCGCAAAGGGGGTTATTTTCAAACCCTAATCGACTAAAAGGCTGCATTCCGTCCCCTCTCTCCAACCAAGTCCGAATCTCAACCCTTGAAGGTGCGATTGAAGCTTCCTTGGTTCACACTTGCGAAATCGACATTTAGGTAACGTATTCTGACTTGCATTTGGTTTTAAGTTTAGTTTTTTTTTTTTGGTTTTCTTCATGCATTTGATTTATGTTTGCGGTTTTGTGGATTTAGGTTAGGGGTAGGGTGCTAAGTTTGTTGTGAGGGTGAGGGTTAGGGTTGATGTGGTGCCTTAGGCTTAGGGTTAGGGTTATGTTAGGGTTAGGGTTAGGGTTAAGGTTAGGGTTTACGTTGCTGTTTTGTTTGGGTTGTAGTGTTTAGGGTTAGGAATGGGTTTTTGTGTTCTGTTTTAGGGTGTAGGGTAAGGGTTAGGGTTAGGGTTGAGGGTTAGGGTTTATGTTTCTGTTTTAGGGTTAGGGATTGGGTTTCTGATTTCTGTTTTATTTTAGGATTAGATTTTGTTTTTTATATTGAATTTTAAATTTTTTGATATTGTTATTGTTCATTGATTTTTGTTTCCACTTGCATTGTAGGTACAGTTGTTCCCATGGCTGGCCGT